ATTACTGTTGACATTCGTTATGGTAAAAAAAATTACTGCAAACTTTCAAAAGACTTAATTTTGTGAAAAAAATGGAAAGCTCATGCACTGCTCATGTACGATTTTAAAGCTTGACAACTAGCGGCTCTTGGTTTCGTGATAAAATACCAGACTCATCACCTGTTCTAGGTGTGTTTAATTGGATTTGTTTATTTTGTAAGCAACTAGAAAAATCAACACGTTTATGAAAATCACCGTCATTCATGGCCTAAACTCTTCTAAAATGAAAAGGATACAAGTTTTATTTATAAAAAAATTTCCACACAGAAGATTTAGAAATATTGAGATACCCTGCGAGCAATATTCTTACCCATATATATCCTTATATTCATCTAATATCAGCATATCTTCCAGTTCCAATATTTTTAGGAATTACTGATCCTGTTTTCCTAATTCCCTGTTGAAGAACTGTAGATCATTTGGGAGCAGGATGTCTTCTATTTGGAAACTTTTTCGGCTTATCTACATGCCTCTATCGTATCGTATTTTAATTCCCAATGCACGATTTGCATAACGGCATATTCTTTGCTACTAAACAAAACCGTTGTAAGAATGTTCATGTTTTTGTATTTGGGAATTATAAGTAATATTAACAATAGAATAACTATGCCTTAAAATTAATTTTCATACGCAGTATAACAAAACAACACACGAAAAAAGTAAAAAGTATATATATATATTATATATATATATATATATATTATATATATATATATATATATATATATATATGTATATATATATAGTATATGTATTATATATATATATATATATATTTATATATATAATGTATATTGTATATATATTATATATATTTATATATATATATTATATATATATATATATATGGCCCAAAGTCTGAAAACGGCTAATTATCTCGTAAATTACTAGACATAATTATACAAAATTTGAGATACGCTTATTTTGGGATTCGGAGAATTCCATATTTGGTATTTGCAATGTTGTCAGATTTTCAGTTTCTCTTATATTACTAGTAACTTTGGTTTTCAAATGCATCACCCTGTATATTCAGTCATTATTGGAATCTCCTATTAAAAACGAGTTCAACCATATGTAACACTTATGATTTTATGTAGTCTGGAAGGTCTTAAATACATAAAACAGAAGTCTGGCACGCCTAAATTGTTTGAATACATTTTTTAATACTAACTATTTTCAAATACATTAAAACGTAACAATTTGATAGTTTAGAATATTTTTTAACATAATAGTTACGTTATTAAGTGTTCAAAAATGTGCTCCATTTGTGAGTTGACAGCACTCTAATCGATGGTAGAATGCGTCTACCAACATTTCTCCATGATTGTCTAGAAATTATTCGAGATTCATCGATAATTCATTGCCTTAGCTATGCAAGACTTGCTGTATTAAGTTTTGTAAACTGAATTTTTGAAGTATCTCTAATAAAAATAATCTTTTAGGATTGGAGAGCGTGGTGAACGTGGAGGCCATTCAATTCTACCTTGTCTAACAATTTATCTATTTGTCTATTTGTCTATATTTATGTTAAACTATGAATTGTTACGTTTTTAATGTATTTTAAAATAGTTAGTATTAAAAAATTTATTGAAACAATTTAGGCGTTGCCAGACTTCGGTTTATATGTATTTATGACCTTCGAGATTCCATAAAGTCATAAGTGTTACATATGGTTGAACTCGTATTAAATAGGAGATTCCAATAATGACTGGAATATACAGGGTGATGTATTTGAAAAAACCAAAGTTACTAATAATATAAGAAAAACGGAAATCTGGCAACATTGTAAATATCAAATATGGAATCTCCGTATCCCAAAATAGGTTTACCTCAAATTTTGTACAATTATGATTAGCATTTTACGAGATAATTAGCCGTTTCCTGACATTTGGGCCACTCTGTATTTATTTATATATACCTACGTACAATTGTCTAAATTAATCTTATTATTATTATTAAATTTATATCTAATTTTTTTATATCCAATTTCCACGAATATAATCGATGCCGTATTGTACTGTGGATATACATAAAACCCAATACCAGATGTAATTTCTGTAACCAAAAATATCTAAGATTCCTTAGCCTCCCTTTTTTTATGGTGATCGAAAGATCTTTTTCTCTTGTTTATTTCTCTTGTTACTTAATGATGGTAATTCTATCAAACCACGAAATTTTAGTACGTACTAAAATTTCGTTGACGGCTAGCAAGCAAATCAAAGTCACAGATTTTTCATTATAGGGATTTAAAGTTCACCTTCGACCCGATATAAAAGTATACAAAGGATATAGATAAGATTGAATAATTCGTTAGCTATTTTTAAATTAAAATTCTGGACTGCAAGGAAAGATTTAGTTTAAAAACGCCTTGTGTATCACTGTGAATAGACAGTTCCTCCTACTGAATATGTATCCATAGGGATACTCATATATATCCATAGGGAGCAACGGCTCTCAAACTCAATAAGCAGTGATAAAACAATGGAAAGGGTTGGAAACCTTTCACACTGTAGCTCTTGAAGGTCTCAGTCAGATAAGAGGAGAAAAGAAACAAAGCACGATGTTACTATTCAATAGGTATAACTCCAGGTATTTAGCCACGATATTTATTGGTAGTGGAGTGTTGTTTATAGAAACTGGTGGCGCGTCAGCTTTTTTAAAGTAAATGTTATATGTGTTGATTTTAAACTGTTGACTTAAACTGGCTAAGTTTAAGCCAACTCTCTAGTTTAAATAAGTGATAATACCTGGATGCTTCAGCTGTTGTAGAATTTGAAGCCATGATAACTGTGTCATCGGCATATGCAGAGATTGTTGTATTGGTCGTGATTGTGAGATCTGATGTGTATATTAAGTAGAGGGTAGGTCCTAATGTGCTTCATTGTGGAACTCCGGAACATATTGAAAACAGGTTAGTGATGTTTCCACCTCTTTTGACTTGAAAAAATCGATCTGTCAGCTGGGATCTTAATATGGGATGAGAAAATATGGATTTAATTATGGACATAAGACCCACATGCCAAACTTTGTCTACTGCTTGAGAGGCATCCTGAAATGCCGCAGTACAATAATTTTTGTGTTCGAGCGAATTTCTGATAGTCCTCACCACCCTATAAATTGCTCGGTGGCACCATGTTTCGTAAGCCCAATAAAACATTACTGTCATATAAAATAGCCTCCAGTCTTCTCAGAAAAATCCGTTCAACCACTTTGGATATAATAAGCAACAAGCTAATTGGACGAAAAAAAGATACTTTCCATTGGAGTGGAAAATAGCCTGTTTTTAATATTGATTTAAAAATATAAGTGATTAAACTTACGCCTTCGTTGGATAGATTTTTTAGTACTAAACTAAAGATTATGTCATATCCATGTGACTTTTTATTTCCAGATTATCAATTACTTCTTTGATTTTAGCTTTGATAGCTTCCTCTTCTTCACTCAGATTTCTTCTTCTTCTTTAAGTGCGCTCTCGCTACGGAGTTTGGCAATCATCATTGCTATTCGTATCTTTAAAGCTGTTACTTTAAATAATTGGTTAGATGTGCACTGGAACCAGTCTCTTACATTGCGCAGCCAAGATATACGTCGTCTTCCCCACGCTTCGTTTGCCCTGAAACTTTCCTTGGATAATTAACTGAGAGCAATCGGTACTTTTTCCTCTCATCACATGACCAAGATATTCCAGCTTTCTTCTCTTGATGGTGATCAACAGCTTCCGTTCTTTGTTCATTCTTCGAAGAACTACACTATTTGTTATTTTGTCTGTCCAAGGTATTTTCAAACTTCTTCTATATATCCACATTTCGAAGGCCTCTAGTTTATCGATATTGCTCTTGTTTAAAGTCCAAGTCTCTACTCCGTACAGCAATATCGAAAAGATGTAGCATCTAAACCAATCTCATTTTCATGTTTAGGTTAATATCATGACTTCCCAGAATGTCCTTCATATTAGCAAAAGCAGCTCGAGCCTTTCCAATTCAAGTTTTTATTTTTTCTGTGGGTTTCCTCTAATGCGGTTAAAATACCTGACATAAATGATTTGCAAAAGTATATGCTTTATCTATGTCAGTTTTAGCTCAATTACCATTTTGTTTCATGATTGGCATATTCATTTGTTCGTTGTGTTTAAGATTTTTTTCACAGGATTGTTTTCACAGGAAATAATTTGTATCTTCTACAGGTCAGAGGTTTTTTTAAATATTTGTTGATTCCATTGTCTTTGTGTTGGATCAATTTTCCTTTGAGTTGTCCGCAAGCTTTATTAAGATTTGCTTTATCTTTTCTCGGGTGAAGTGTATTCATATAAATAGGATAGAACTCGGAGTTGTGCTTGTGGATAATTTCTGGGGTGAACAACCAAGCAGCTTACTGAATAACTGTAATTTGCTAGTTACTTTTAAGAGGCAAGTTTAGGTTAATGGATGTTTTTATTTCTTCTCTATATCTGTTCCAGTTTGTTCTTGTATTCGAAAGAGTTAAATGTTTAGAAAATTACGAATTTGGCTTTGTAGATCTATGAAGAAAGGGAGAATGATTTGATGAGAGGTCAAATGAAGGAGAAATTTGGAGGTAGGTATGTGATATTCCTTTTCTTCTTCTTCGCATGCCATATTAGAATTATCCAAACGACGTTGGCCTCCGACGTAAGCACGAAGTTCACAATAATATGAAAAATTACCATATGTCGTTCATTTTGGAGAAAATGTCAATCGAAACCCCACTTCGGCTAGTTTCGTAAAAGCCCAACACCACAGTATATACACATTCATATTAATATTATTCTTTCGGAGATTGCTTTTCACTTAGTTATATTTTTACGGCATTTTTCTATGTACTATCGTAGACTCTTATATATTATGTTTTTTTATTAATTATTGTATACTTCGTTCTGTTGTTTTTTATTTTAATTACTAATTGATTGCAGATGGCTTTATTACACTAAATATTTTTTGTTGCAGTATGTCACGGAAAAAATGGGAGGTGCGGAAGGTACCAAACTGGATCTGGATTTTATGGATATGGAAAGGGTAAGTCGAATAATTATTTCGTATTTTTTAAGAGATTAACGCTTAAATCCTTTTAAATTCTAAAAAATTGGAATATGGAATCTATGAAAAAGTTTTGAAGATATTATAGTTTTAAAAGAGTATTCGTCGGACAGATTTGATCGTTTTTACAAAACCAGAGAACTACAAACATAGAAAAGCGACACTCCTTTGAAGTTTCGTGGGCAAGCCGCCAATGACAGTTAAACAACCAGAAAACTAATTGTCAGTGGGCATATCACACAATATAAATTCTTAAATAAAATTGAGCATTTATGTTGACTTTCAATAAATATGAAATATTGCACTGAAAAAATAGTTCCATGCAGGGCCGGCTTTTGTTGACATTCTTAATGGTGTAATTATTTTTTATTTACAAAAGGTTGCAAATACATCGCACAACGCAAAGTAATGGTGAAAATCATGACGTATAAACACAGATGGACTCAGTTATTTACATAAAATTGTGAAGTCAAAATTATTTGAATAGGTCACATTCTCAGCACCTTCAACTGTTGTCACGTTTTGTTTTAAAATTTCTTATTCACGAGTCGCTGAAAATATTACTCCGTATTTTATACTCTACAGGTGCTATCAAACCAAAATAATAATTTATTGGTTAGATTAATATATTTAATTGTAATCAAAATATAAAGTGTGCACATAGTGTGCATTATCATTTAATAATAGCGTATAATCATCAATTATTTTATATGTACAAGCACTGAAAACTATTTATAAATGGCAATGGTTGTTTACATTTCTCTGTCTTATGGATCTACGTCAAACTTCAAATGCTGTTTCATGTTTGTTTACTTTTTAGTAAAAGTTGTTTTTCGATATTTTGGCTGTATTTTGAGTGATATTTGTGAAAAGTGAAATAAAATAAACGAATTTACATCCCGATCTCTCATTTCATTTGTAAGTACATACAATTTACATTATTTAATATGAGGAAATGAGGAAGCGTGTTTGTTTGCACTATAATAATCGTACCATTGGGTTTATTCATGTTTATTTATGTATTAAATAAGATATAAGTTTATGAAATTAGCAGACATTTTTAAATTGTAAGTAGACATCATAAACTATAACTTTTAACTACTAAATAAATTAGATAAATGGTCAAATGCACTTGTTGAGTCGAGTATTTACCATAGGCGCCTACGGACTATCGTAAAACAACTAAAATTAAAGAATAAGCACGTGTTGATGACAGTTAAGCAAGCAGAATCGGGCATGCGTATACAAAAACGGTACACGTTTTAGAAAGGTCGTGTAGCTTCTCTGTGTTCGTAGTTCTCTGACAGATCCAAAAATCAAAGTAAATTAATTTTAAGTATTATATGTTATTAATCAACAATATAAGTTGCGTGTGGTGGACATGAAAGTAAAAAAGTGGAACTAAACCAAAATATCGTAGAGGACCGCAAAAAATCAAATGGTGGATGCTAAAAGATAAGAAGGAAGGTCTATTCAGGGCAAAAACAGTAGAAAATGTGCTTTGTTTGCGTAGGATATCTTAAAATATATAGGTTAAAAACCCTTATAGTTTATTTTTATGAACGAGAGAGTAATTAGCATAATTTTAACTGGTACCTCGGGACCACTCCATGGGCGTGCTCAAGATTAATTGAAAAAATTACTTTGAATAATTGTAAAAAATAAATGAATTATTTCAGTGTTATAAAGTGTTATGTGTATGTAAACAAAAGTGACCTCTTTTATCACACACTATATTAGAACTGACTGGCCTACATTAAAAAGGGTTTTAAAAAATTCACATTTTTTTTAATTTTTAAAAATTACAAAAGAGAAAAAGAGTTTTTTAAAACCGTCTAAGGTATGTTAAATAGATGAATAAAAATATTAATATAAAACTTACAGCTACTTGTTACAAATCCAAATCAGATTCAGAAGATGAACTTTCAGAACCAAGATTTATAATAACTGGCTCGATCATTTATCAGTAATATTGTCCAGCTTCCACATTTTTTCCTCTTCTTTAATAGTGTGATTTACTGCCTTTTCCCAGTTTTCAGGTTTTACATTATTTACGGCCTCCAAAAACAACTGTTTAACATCATGAATTTTAAAAGTGGTATTTTTTCTTGAAACTTCACTCTTTATCTGTGCCCATACCAGTTCAATCGGGTTTAATTCACAATGATATGGTGGGGATCTAAGTACTGTCATTCCACGATTTTTTGGCAATTTCATCAATTTCGTATTTTTTAAATTTTTCTTTATGAAGGGCACACAACGAATAAAGTTCCTTTCTTATAGATCCGGGATGGTACGTAATATTTTTTGAACTCAGCCAATTCTGCAAGTCTTTTTTTAACCACTTGGTTGTGGGCAGTCCTTCTATAAGTCTGGAGTGATAACTTGCATTATCCATTACTATTACACAGTTCTTAGGAAGAAGATCTATCATTTGTTCGAACCATTCTTGAAAGACATCAGCGTTCATGTCTTCATGGTAGTCACCGGTACGAGTTGATTCAAAAGTTAATAAACCACCTTCAACAAAACCGTCTGAACTGCCAATGTGTAACTATTATCAGCCTGCGTCCCTTTCCTGATGGTGGGTTTAAACCAGTAGATGTTATTTACAAAAGCGTTGCCTTTGACTTGTAACAGTTTCATCCTGCCAAAATTTATTTGTCTTCTCCATATGACAATATCGCTTCTTTCTAATAAAATAGACTTTCTGGGATTCTTTTTCCAGTGGAAGCCTATTTCTTTTAAAAGTTTCCATAACGTACTTCGACTCATTTCTGGGTAATCCTTATCATCTCGAACTGAGACAAGAACTTTAATCCAATGTTGGAAATTCTTGTCTAAAGAAGAATTCATGCACTTTCGTCGAAGTCCTTCTTTAAAATGATATTCTATTTGAAAATTTTGATTTCCCTGGAGCATTACGTGGCATTTGAAAACTACCACATTTCTCTTCTTTAGTAACTCTGCAAATCGTAGATTTCCCAACACCAAGTGTACTGCTAACTAACTCAACGGTCTCATCAAACTTTCACATAAACGTTTGTCTGTAAATGATTTAAAACAATTAAATATTAATGTTTTTTCATTAACTGTTAAAGGACCAATTTTTCGGCGTTTACACGGCACTTCCAAATTTTCCATAACACTAGTATACACAATAAACTGCACCTTGCAACTGAAGTACCTACTTTTAGTGAACTGTTAAGAATTTTGAATACGCAACTTGGACCTTCCTACAAAATGGAAAAACCCGCTTTCACATTTTCTGTGGAATAAGTTTAGAAGGTAATTATCTAGTCAATTACTGTCGTAGATTCCTGGAATTAAAGAATTAAATGTTTTGATTGTTGAAACCCTTACTTCATGGAATGCACTCATTTCAGATAAATAAAACGTTTTATATTTTATCTAAAATAATTAAACTTTAATTTTGCAAATAGGTAGGTACTTATTAAACTTTTATTGGTTATATATAACCAATAAAATAAACATCTTACATTTCTTGCAAATTCATTAGTACCTGTTAACCTCCATCACTCCGACACTGGCAACCTTATTTTAGTAACCCTCACAACTATTGTATTCTATTCTGCTCCAACCTTTACACCTGGTGGTCATACTCAATTTAAAATTGGTTTCCTATATACTTCTGTAAACTTGTTGACAAATATCTGTTTTTCATTGAGTCACCCGTATCAACAGTTTAGGGATTTGCATACATAATTTATTGTTTTATTACTCTCTCATACATAAAAATACACTATAAAAGTTTTGTATTTAATCTCATTTCTACTTATAATACGAAAATAAATATACATGGCTCTGTTATAAAAATTTATTCTTCTTTTGGTGTTATTATTTAAATAGACCGATATTTCTTTTTGTTTTAGAAAACTGACGTGACGGTAGAACTGGTGGAGGAGTTACAAGTAAAAACAAAAGAGTTCCTACAGCCAAACCCTACGGCAAGAGCCAAGATGGCTGCCGTCAAAGGTATCAGTAAACTTAGCGGTCAAGCGAAATCGAATACTTACCCCCAGCCAGAAGGTGTACTAGGAGACTGTATGCTGACGTATGGCAAGAAATTAGGAGATGATAGCCCTTTTGGATTGGCTTTAATCGAAATGGGAGAGTCGTTAAAGCAAATGGCCGATGTTAAATACTCATTAGATGATAATATTAAACAAAACTTTTTGGAACCTCTGCATCACCTTCAGACTAAAGATTTGAAAGAAGTAATGGTAAGTGATCGATATGCATAATACTTTCTAACATTAAAATCATTGGAAAGTTGATTCTTTTGTTTGTAGATTAGTAATTATTTTACTTTTCCGCAAATCGCCAGGAAATTTTGACATTCCTGTCAAAATTTCTTGAAGAAAAAGTCAGGACTTCCTTACTGTAAGGAAATGCATTCCTTACTGTAAGGAAATGATATTTCCGTACAGTTGTTAGTGTTCTACATAAATGATAGAAAACACATTGCTTATAAGGAATTAATTTATATTTTGAAAACATCTAAGTCATTGCTGAATACATTTTTAAGATCAATTTGTTATATTTACAGTAATTTGACAGTTAGTACAATTATTGAACATTGGAGGAACACTCTTAGAACTATGAGAAACATTTTGGACAACATGCAGGGTGGAAGTGTCATTTTGTTGAATATTTTGTACTGTGAAAATTTTATTTGCCACCTCAACCTTATTGTTAAGCAATTCTTCGATATATCCTTCAGCAACGTTTGATGACTTCCATCCGCCATGCCTCTTTAAACTAGTTATGTTGGCACCAGAGTCAACCAATATTGTTGCAGAAGACCGACGAAAGCAGTGACCAGTATATTCTGTCGGATTTACCAAGTTCAAATAAGTAGCAATTATTTTGGGCATTTTTCTAAATTGATGAATTCCTACCACTTGTCTACAACCCTTTCCGCTTTGATATTTAAAGAAAAATCGGTCACTGTTCATATTTTCTGGTCTTAATGAAACATACTTTCGATAAACATTCACGTAGATCTGATTAATTACAAATAATCTTGGTTTGTTGGTTTTCGAATCAGGTATGCTGATTAAAAGCTTAGATTCTAAGTCTTCTATATCGTGTACAGTCATTCGGACTAACTCATCCATTCTACAAGCCCCAGAAATACCAAATATTACAGCCACCTAAAAAATAAATAAAGCTATAATCTAAATAGAAATTAAAACCTTGTAAATTACCTTAATCATTAAATTTTCTTTATCTGGAGCTTCCTGGATAAATTTTTCAATTTCTTCCTTCGTTAAAATCTTAGATTTCTTTGCCCTATAACCTTGAGCTTGCCGTTTCAATAAAGAACGAAGTTTTGAGTATGTAGATATATCTACATTGTGTTTAAGTGCAAGGGTTGACTTCAGCATTGAATAATTGGCCCATAATGTTGAAGATTTCATCTTTAAACAAAGGTCTAGGAAGTATGCCATTACAACATTTTCTGAGAAAGAACTCGTATTTTTACTCATGCGATAATCCATAAAACGTCTGTATGCATTTTCGTACTTTTCTCTTGATTTCTTTATCAATAATTCTAATGAAGCAGTATTCACTGCCTCAACCAGCTCTGGAGGAGTCCCAGGAATGGAAATTTCATCATCACTTATCATTTTACTTTCGAGAACACCAGCAATTAAATTTATAAGCGTCAAGTTTGACAATTCAACCTCAATACGTTTCCATAGTAACCCAAGTAATTTTATTAGGAATTTCAAAGCACCATTTATTTGGGAATAAAATTATCGCGTTTTTTTTAAATCAATCAATATCTGTCGAATTTTAAACGATTTGCGGAAAAATAGTATGTTTACCTCGTAGGAAAAGCCACATTCCTGGACTCTGTGTTGCTAAGTCTCGGCTTGCGCCTCGACTTAGCAATCTTCACAGTCGTCCAGGAATGTTATGTACTATTGTTGTATATTTTTTAATCTTCTAGCATTTGGTAGAGTAATGTTTTGAGCACATCAGTGGTATATGTTTACATTTATAACTACCAAGCTCACATCCTGTTGTAAGCGCTTCAATAACAATTAAAAAACAATTATTTAAATTCTCATTTTTCTCATTGGTAACTAATGGTCTAGGAGCCAGGGGGATTGAGTATGCACTTTATGTCACTTCGGTATCTGGACATTCTTATGTTTTTTGGTATGTAGATTCGATTTTTCGAGGGTATCAGGCTGAAAACCCGTCAGATAATTTGTTATTGATAATTTAATTGTTGGAATGTTATATCCCCTAAACTATTAGAGATATAAAAGAAAGGACTTCGGATTTCTTCTTTCGAGAATTATTATCAGATGTCACTATAGCGTCCAAATCGAAGCCATTTATTGTTGCTCTTTGACGGAAAAGTTGTTTCAAGTTTAGGGTGCTGTAGCGGTCCTTAGCGTTATTAGGTATGCTCTTATAAGTACAAAAACAATTCGCAAGGATTTTTGCTAAAATGAGGAGATATTTTGTGGGAGGCAAGTTTTAGATCCTTCATATCTCTATTACATCTTTTAGCATCGTCTGTTTTGCCTTGCAAATTTATAGAAGGCACCGCTTAAAGCAAAAATCTAAATTTTGGCTTCGTCAATAGAAATCTTCGGATTTCTACTATCGAGATTTCTTATACTTCTTTTCCATTGTAAAAACGTCTGAAAAAAAAATAATTCTTTTAAATGTGCTGTCAGTTATAGATATCTACGTGTATTATGTTATCAGCTCAGCTCTCACGTCCCGCCATACTCCATGCCATCTGCCGTCGGGAAAGAGCTCTCGTGTTACCTTAAGCTTCTTGTCCATAGACATTTCGTAAGGAGGATACGCATGGAACTTCTTCATGACGATCTTGTATCCCTGACCCCAGATGTCCTCACAGTTCTTTCCAGTGCCTTCTTTTTCTGTGCGGATTTTCCTGTAGAGTTCCCTCTTCCTTGCGTGGTACTCTTCCTCGATCTCCTCGATGACTTCCAGGTTGATCCCTGTTCTACCCCTTTCTCTCATTTACCTATTTCTCATTGCTATACATTCATTTCTTAGTGCCTCGATGCCCGCATTCCACACGTATGGCATCCTGTTGACATCTCGGCGCCCTATCTTGCTTCCTTCCATCGCTGCTTTAATGACTCTTTCCAGATTTTTCACCGTCGGTGATTTACCCTGCATCATGCTCACTCTCCATTTAATCAACTCTTCGTATACTTTCCAGTCATTCCCATCGCCGCATCTGCCCCCCGACGTCATGGACACACGGACCGCGTGAGTGGTCCCCGTTGAGGTTACCGAGAAACCGATGTACCAATGTTCAGTTGTAGCCGGTGTAGTCTGGCAAAACCTCTTGCTTTCGCCACTATTCTTGTGTCGCCATGGTCAACAAACGTAAGCTCCAGACCTGTGTTCAGTACCACTAGATCTAGAGTACCCACCCAGTCAGTCAGTATCCTATCGCGAGTGTCGGTGATGGGAGATCCCCATTCCGCTGCTTTTGCGTTAAAATCTCCCAGCACTACGCATTCTCCCCTTGTGTTTCCCACTTCCTGCATAATCTCGTCCATCTTCATCTCGTACTCGCCCACCATTACGTTTGGAGAAATATAACAGCAGACCAGCCGCACCCTCTCCATTCCTATTGTAGATTCGTACAGCAGCCCTCCCGGTCATATCTGCAAACTATCCTCTTCTCCTCGCCGCTGTTGGATTTAGCTCCGCCGTCACCAGCACATCGATCTTCTTTTCTAATGCATCAGCATCCGCAAGATCTTGTGCTAATCTTGCTGTTCCCACGTTAGTTTGGAGCAGCCTTAGTTCTCGAGTCTTGTTTCCTGTGTTTGCCATTTCCACTTTCTACTGCCTTAGACTTCTTTGGCTCTCTCTTTCGTATTGTTTCCTCTCTCATACTCTTCTTGGTACTAGTCCTTAGTGATTCTTATTTTCAACCAGTCGGTTGAACTTTGGGCATGTTCTTGAATTCGCCAGATGCCCGGTCACGTCGCAGTTGAGGCATCTGGTTGTTTCTTCCTTGCATTACAGGGCTATGTGACTCTTTACCACATCGAAAGCAACATTCTCTTCTGTTCATCATATCATTTTGTTCTGATCAATTATAACCAGTTTCATCCAAATAATATACTTTTCTCTTTCGTATTCCTTAATTTTGTTATTTAAAATCGTGATTTATTATTTTTTTATTTTTTTTTACTGGAAGGACTCAAATTCTACCAGTCAATTCTATCGTAGTTATGGAAAATGCCATTTCCCACTCAAGATTAAAGCAAAGTAAATTATATTCAACAAAATTTAAAAGTATTCTGAAGATGGAGGAGCAAAAGAACGTGAAGTCACGGTGATTACCACCGTATCATTGCGAACTTAACCAAATTGAACAATCTGGGTTCAAGTGAAGGGAAATTTCGCGAGGTATACCACCACGTTTGTTTAAACTTGAAGCTATTTGTTAACTGGTAAATGACTCATATGATAGAGGAAACTATCTAATCTTGAGAGAACGTAATTTATTTATTTTATTTTCATTTATACAGACCGCTGCAATCTTGGTTGCTCAACTAGTTATTCTGCTGTTTGGTGAATTATTTCTTCATCTTCGTTTTGTCCTTTTTTTGGGTTTAACAGCTCTTGAAAATGCTCCTTCCACCTTGTCATTATTTCCTCTTTCTCGCTGATAATTGCCCCATTTTGTCCTTGCAAACTGTTGATCCTGTCATGTATCTATGGGTGTATTGCTTGGTTTTCTTGTAAAATTTTCTAGTCTCTCTTCTGTTATTATAATCTGTAATTTGTTGTATTTTTCTATTCAACATTTCTCTATTTTTCATATATGTTCTTTGCATCTTTTCAGAGTTCTTCATAATGGCTTTCTATTCAATCGGGAATCCCTTTGTAGACATTTCTGTCTAGCTATATTTTTGCTATTTATTACTTGTTGGCGATCTTGGTCAAACCATTCCTCGTTTCTTTTGCTTGAGGTTTCACCTAATGTTTCCTTTGCCATATTTGTAATTGTCGTTTGGATGACTTCCATCTTCTTCAATGTTGTTTTGTTCTCCTCTTTCATTTAATATTATTTTTATTTTCGGCTGGTACTCATTCTTCTTTTTAAGATTTTTAAACATACATGTGTTTCATTTTCTTTGTTTGACACCTTTCTCTTTTCTTAACATTGATATTCTTTTTTATCTTCGATATAACCAAGAAA